GTAACTGCAAAACAAAAATAATTGCATTTCAAGGGAGATAGCAACATGTAATCATGAAAGCAGACGTGATGTGCAATATTTAAGCAGGGTTATGCATTTTCAGATTGTTGGATGAGATTTAAATAAAAACTGTCAAGATGACTTTATCTTGGTTATAGCCTATGAAATCCAGCAGTTATGAAGGAGCAGAGCACAGATGCATGCTTTCCTTTGTATATTTATGTGTATGCTGATTCTGTCAATCCTATTTGTTTGGAGCCTTCCAAGTGTTTAACTAAATTCCTCCTCCTCTTATGCAGGTAGAGAAAGCAGGACACAAGCGTTTTTCCCGCTTCATCAGTGAAGCCAGTGGCAGAAAGGAACCTGTTCTGCTTAATTCCCTGTCCCATTCTGTTTACTGGACCATATTGCCTCCAAAAAAGTAAAATTAGCTTTCATACAGTGATTAAAATGTTGGCATAGCCAAAACTTACCTGTGTTGCATGCCAGTTGTGCTTCATTTTGCTGTTTTATAGAGCAGGAGGGTAGGCCTGTGCTTCGAACGTGCCACTAGTGCTGCTCTAGTTATGGTTGGGATATTGTGACATCTCTATTATTAAACCTTACTTTCAAATTCATTAAAACTGGGTATTTGAAAACTCCTTCAATTATGAAATATTAGCTGAAATCTCTAGCCTGGGTGCTTTTTTTTTTTCCTCCCTTCCCAAATTTGAAAGGAAGTTTGGTTCAGAAGTTAGTCATTTACTGAAAAGTGAACAAACTCACTATTCTTGTTTTCAGACTTTACTGTCTGTATTTTAGAAAACTTTCAGATAAATAATTACTCTGAAAGAGTAATTTTGAAAATAAGAAAACACATTTTTCTTCTGATGAACCAGAAGACCTTTACTGATTCAATAGACCTTTGCAAGTTTATACCAACTGAAAATGTTGTCTTTCATATTTGTATCTTAGATCTCCTGGGGCTGGTTCAAAGCTGGCAACTGGTTTTGAACCGACTGTCGGAAACATGCAATTTCAGTGTTCTGCAGTAGCTCTGTGAGGTACCAGCATGTCTGCAAACAAATAACTAAGTATGGCTGAAGAACCGGTACTCTGCAAAATCGAATTCTGCATACTTTGAAGTACATGACATCAGCTTGAGAGGTCAAAAGAAAGTTAGCAAAACCGAAGCATGAACCAAGGAAAAACATCAGATAATAGGTGTTGAGAACATAGCAGATAATACAGGAGAAACTCAGACTAAGCAGTACATAAAATGCAGCAGTTGATATACCATTTTTTAGTATTAAAATATTCTTAAATCTTACTAGCTATAGCTAGTAGTAGCTTATAGTAAAATAGCTTATAGCTAGCTATTTTATTGTGCAGGATGATCATCTCTGTTCAATTTGTTATAAAAGAGGCAGTGTTATTTGATTTTAGTTTCTGAAAGTTTATAAAATTTTTCTCATCAAGATGAAATCCATTCTCTCTGCTGAAATCAGGAGGTGTTTGTGCCCTATAACAGGCATAACACAGCTAGGAAAATAAAATCGCACCGTTAACCTGCTCGAAGTTGCCAGTAAAATTATAATATATTTTTAAACTGTGGAGGCTGGCTGCTCAGGCGTTAGAACCATTGTTTCTCTACAAATTGGTTTGCATCTTTTTGAGTTGTAGTTCCAGTACCATCCCTTAGGGTGTCTTTCCCCTACAAAAATCTAATGAGTCAAAGGGTTACTCCAGAGCATCATCTGCTTCACTGTTATGTGCCACCAGGCTGCCAGTATGAGGAAGCGATTATACTGCCACACTAGCACTGTGACAGTCTTCCTTGTGACCAGGAGAAAAAAAGACAGTATTAGGGTCAGAGATGCAGACTGAGTTTGTCAAGGTTGGTTTCTTTACAGTCTTGTGGTGGGAATGAGACCAAAGTAGGTGGCTCAGATCGACCAGGTCTTTGGCCAAGAGTGTTTCCTGGCTTCCATGAAGATAACTCACTGAGATGCCAGAGCTGTTAGTTCTAGTTGTTGTTTTTCAAATAAACAGGACTCGAATACTTTGTCTTAAGGTTGTGTATGGGAAATAAGATGGAAAATTTTTGCTGCTGCCTTATCTTTATATGGGGGGAGAAGAGGAGAATAGGAAGTCATCCTAACTTGGAGAGTGAAGCTGCACAGTCTACCAAGTGACTGTAGAGTATGTGCTTCTTCAGATGCTCTGGAAAGGCTCTCCAGGACAGCCTAAGTGCCTGTGCTAGGAAGGATAGACAATGTCAGAGGAGAGGAATGCGCAGGCAGGGAGAATGAGTAGCACACCCTGATGGCATCACCTCTACCCCTTCTGTAGTTCTTGAAAAACATTTTAGACAAGGTGTGCGTTGCTGAAATCAGTGAGTGCTGTATCCCTATCCCAGTAAGTTACTGCGATCTGGTATCATATAAGCATGTCTAAGCAAAAATGGTGCAGTATGTGCTTTACAATTTTAAAAATATGTAAGTAAAAAGTTAAGAAAACATTATTTGTCCTTATTATTTGCTGTCAAAAAGGAACTTGAGGAGGTAATCCTCTGGTACAGCAAGAAACAGAACTAAGGAGGAAATACAGCTACCGTATACAAATGATCAAAATTTCACCATGTTTTGTTTGCATATGCATGTTGTGGTGTAGGTTGTAACACAGTTAAGGTCCTAGTTTGTTGTATGTGTTTCAGTTTATCGTTACATTAAAACTGTCAGCTTTGCAGTGAGCTGTAAAAATAAATGTCTTGGTCTGATATTAAAACAACTTATTCGTATAAATATAGGCCCAAGTTAATATCCTTTTAGCTTTTTTTCCTTTTTAATCAACTTGAATAACAAAAGAACAAACTTGACCCAGTGCATCTACCTTAGTGACTGGTGCAGTTCAAAGAGGGAAGGAGTGGGGTCTGTGATTCAGTTACTGTACCCACACTGCACTTTTACTGGCCATTTCCCCCCAGTCGCTGGTTCGGGGCAAGTACTGTACAGCTATACATAATAGGCAATGCAAGCCCACATAAACACGCGCGCACACACACAGACAAACCTCAAGTCAAAGAAGTGCCTTCTGTCAGAAGTCCGGGCAGGGTGCCCTAGATGGCACCCGTATATGATTTCATCCTTGTGTACACTACAGGGTGCTTCAAGGATACCACCTCATGACTCTAGCAAATTTTGTAACAGTTTACTAGGTAACTTTATGCCTTAAAATAAATAAATAAATAAATAAACAAACCTGCAACACTGTAAATTAGTAATGCTGACATATACATTGTATTCAACTAAAGGACGGTTCTGCTTAGACTTGCACCGAATTATGTTCTCATTTGTCTGAATACAAAAAGGTTCTTGCTTGATCTTGGGTCTAAAGCAGGCTCATGAAGCCACATTAAAATAGCCAGTGCTGTTTCTGTGCATCAGGCTTGAGTTCTGAGGGTTAAAAAAAATTAAAAAAAAAAAAAACCCACATATATGTAATTAAAGTACAAAGGAAATAGGAAGGAGGATAGCAAGGAACAAATCTGGAAAATAAGTAACAGTTGGGCATTTTAATTATTGACATCTGATTATACTGGAGGAGTTAAAGGACTCTAAAAGAATTAGCCCTACAGCCATTCAGAGTGCTGTGAGGAGGGAGCGTGTATTCATCAGACTTTTTTTAATTATTTATATTTCCAAGATAATTGTCATAGCTTTCATGGTAGCAAAAACCTATAGGAAAACCTACAAAAAAACTTTTGCAGGAATCTCTATTGTAAGTTGTACACAAGTTTAGCTGAAATAATTGCTATTTCAGTACTAAATGTTCTTTTGGAAAGACTCTGGGAAATCTGTTCTCCTGTTTTTGAGATTTTGATTTGAAAAATTCTATTATGCATATTTGAAAGCTATTTGGTTTGCACTTGTAAAATTCTGTAAGTTGAATCTTAGTATTTTAATGTGGCTAATAAGTTATAACAAAATTGAATTTATTTAAAATACTATCGACAAGCAGTTATAAATTACATGATTGCTAAGCATATTTTTATTATGTTTTTCATTAAATTGTTTGAAACACTGCAAAGTAGTACCAGGGATTATGAGAGATGAGTGGGTTTCAAACAGGACACTTCTAATTTATTAAAATAAAGCAGAATACAAAATCTTCCTCAGAATCTGATAAATTACCTGGGTGGTCTCAATTGCACGTGCCAGATGGGAAAATACCCCCACAATAATCTAAGAAATCTCCAGAAGGAAACCCTTGTAGAGATTCCTCCCCGCTTCTTTCCCCTCTTCCCACAATCTCCCGCATATTTTTCCATAGAAAAGGATTATCTGCATTTAAGGATGCCATGTTTTTTTCACTATATTAAATGCAATTTCTGTCCCCCAAATGAAAAAATTTTTAGTGATGAACTAATATAAAGTGTAGAAGGCTTATGGAAGTGAACTGATAGCAAAGGAGCTTGATTTTGTTTCTAACATGCCACTGAAAATTGAAAGCAAGCTTTAACTAAAGAGAAGGCATGTTAAAGGAAAATAGGAAGTGGCTGCATTAAGGGAAAGCTGGAAAGCATCAAAAGAATGGAACAGTCACAGGAAGGAGGAGGAAAGTGTAGTCCTGTGCTGTCTTTACATTTCTGTAAACCTAGACTTTTCCAAAAAGCTTTGATGTCACATATGAAAATATATTTTGAGATGTTTTTCAAAAACACATTAGCATTATAATAAATGTGAAGATAAGGAAGGTATCTGAATATTCAATCCAGAACCCAAAATCGATTCTGTTACTGAACAAATGATTTTATATTCATGGAGACTTGTGATAAATGCGTCCTCGGAAATGCATGCAAACATGGATTTCCCGTTTGTTTGAGGGGCTTTCAGATGAAAACTCAGTGTTTTTTCTGTGTTAGACACTGATAATTACAAAAGTATGGAGGATATATAAGGTGTTGTAATATCTTTTCAAGTTTAAGGGGTTTGATCTTTTTTTTTCTGTTATATCTGCAGGAGAAACCTAACAAAGCTGTCCCTCATCTTCAGCCACATGCTAGCAGAAATCAAGGCTATTTTTCCAAATGGCCAGTTTCAGGGTGATAACTTCCGTATTACAAAAGCAGATGCTGCAGATTTCTGGAGAAAATTCTTTGGAGACAAGTAAGTAGTAAAAATTTAGAAAATTATTTCTTCTTTCTGGTGACAAGCTTAGAAAGGAATGGTATTTTCAAAATTCAAATAATGGTTATAAATAAGTGAGTGGAAATTTTAAGTGCCATATCTTCATGTCTTTAAATTAACAGGGATTGCTAAATTCATTACTAGCAACTTTGTTGTGATGCTGTGAGTGATATCTGCTCCAAAGATGAATAAAAATGCATGACCAGTTCTGTAAAGGGCATTTAAAATCAATCATAGATTGGATTAGATTACATAAAGTTTATTGGCTGTTTCATTCTAGGGTGAAGATAATATGTTGTTTTTAAAAGAAACAAGACTAAGCATTTCTTTCATTCAGTCATATATATATCTGTGTATATATGTATATTTATATGTGTATACACACACACACACACACACACACTACTGCTAGCGACAACCCTAAAGTCTGAATTAAGAACTTGATACTGGTTTCATGGACAATATATTTCTTTATTCCATCTTTTACTTGTTATTTATGAACATTTTTTACATTTTTAGTTTTCTTTTGAGTAATTGAAGTTACTATTGTTATCCTTCATTGTAAAACTTTTATGACCGTGATATCTGTAGCATAGTCACAGGCAACTAATGTTTTCTTTTGTCATAGTTCTGTTATAGAAGGAGAAAGACTAACTGGAAATGTGAGTTTTGCAAGGTTTATCAAAAGCGTTTTTTGGAAAAACTTAGTGTTTAAGCATGGGTCATAAAATAGGTGCTAAGGCATGACTTGTAGATATGTGAGTAAATCTTAATAGAATGCAAAAGTGAAAATACAAAAGTGGACAGTTGTTTTTTGTTTTGTTATTGCTAAATAATTTAACGTATGATTTAGATACAGTTGAATAGAAGATGCGTAGCTTGGTCACTTCCTCATAGGTAGTGCTTATGAGCACAGCTGATGGAAGAGGGAGGGGGCAAGAGATGTGCAAATCTGAAGATGAGGAGCAGCCGTTATGGTCATCTAGTCAGATATGTTGCATGAGT